CTCAAGGTAAAGGTGACCTATGTAAAGTAATGAGCACATTGTTTTTTCAGGCAAAGTTACACATGCCTTAAGTAGTACATTGCTTTTGTAAGGGCCTTTCCCACAGCACTTCCCTTTGAGTGCTAGATAATGCTAAAACACTACAGATGTAAACTGAGGTCCTTTCTGGTACTCAAGATCCAGCTCATGACACTTTTTAATGTACTTCTTTATGAGTGAATTTCACTAGACTAACAAATGTCCCCATATTCCATTTTAGTGGTTAAGCAACATAACATCAACTATACATTGATACATAAAAAAACACATACATCCTCTTCTTAAAGGTGGCCTATGAAAAAACTTGTACTCATCAAAAAACTTTTTGATCCTTTGTCACATAAAGATGTCCTGATGTTATTTAAAGTCTGATGGTTTACTATTAAGATAATAAAACCAGAAATAACAGTAACAATTTAGGTCCAGTGCAAAATTCCAAAACCTATTTCTGTTGTTAGGTGAGTTTATTAAAATTAACAACAAAAGTTGTTTATGTACAACTTTACAATACATAAAAAATACTGACTAAATATACTTAGTTTTACATAGGCATGATGGCATCTTGAGCTCATTCCACTGCACTCTATTCTTTCTTTAAGCATCTGAGCTAAATCCTTCCTCTAGTTACAAATGCATAATGCTCTTTATTATAAGGAAGGCTTTACAGATATGACTGCTAATTTGACCAAAAGTATTAATGGGCAACACAGTTGCAAAGCAAAAATGAAGAAAAAGAAGGAGCATAAAGGTTTAAATGTACATGACAGCTATCTACAAGATCATAGAATCATAGAATCATAGAATATCCTGAGTTGGAAGGGACCCTTAAGGATCATCAAGTCCAACTCTTGACACCGCACAGGTCTACCCAAGTTCAGACCATGTGACTAAGTGCACAGTCCAATCTCTTCTTAAATTCAGACAGGCTCGGTGCAGTGACCACTTCCCTGGGGAGCCTGTTCCAGTGTGCAACCACTCTCTCTGTGAAGAACCCCTTCCTGATGTCCAGCCTAAACTTCCCCTGCCTCAGCTTAACTCCGTTCCCGATATATCATTCTCTTTTGGTAAACTTCTCTTATGTAGAGTAAAATACATTCAGTCCATTAATGAGATGTCATGATTAATTCAAACCTGATTAATGTTTATTTTTAATTAATCCAAAATAAATTTCATAATGTTATGATGAAAAAATATATAGGGATAATCTAATCGAATTTACATTTTCATAGATGAAATGTCAAAACAACAGGATTATCTGTGCTTTCTGATTTTCAGACAAATTATTTTGCTTTTTTTCATTTACAGTTTCATGTGGTGTTCTGTGTTCTACACTCAACAGGCAATTTACTAATGATTTTATTACCTGAAGGAATTCTACAAGGAAAATGAACACATTCTTAACACAGGGATACAAAAATCGTGATGCAGGGCTGGACCACAATATCTTGTCTTCAGCAGTGACCGGCAGTGGATGATGAGCTTGAGAACAGGACAAGCTGATAGGGTTCTTCCCCAGAACACCTTCGGATTCTCCAGCAGTTCACTGTTAGGGAAATACAATGATCCCAAAAAGATCCTATAAAATCTGTTGTGTGGAGTCATAAGGATTCATTTTGAACATCTGTATCTGTTGATTGTCAGCCAATATGGCTGGTTTCACTGGAGACTTTCTGTTGCTGTCAGAGCTGGTGTTTTGTGCTGGCTGACCTCAATGTGCTCACCAATCATGTGGCTAACATGACCATTCTTTATATATTTTACTGCAAATGTGTCTCTACATAGTAGTAATTCCATATACAAGACAGTTGTGTGCAGTGTTTCTAGGTATGCAGAGTTTGGCATTAAAAATTAGATGTTCTTTACGACCTCTTCACAAACAGAGAAGGACCGATGGAGGATGTGATTGTCAGGAGCTGTCTTGGGCAGAGTGACCACGAAATGGTGGAGTTCACTATTATTGGCGAGGCCAGGAAGGGGACCAGTAAAACCGCTGTATTGGACTTTCGGAGGGCTGACTTTGGGCTGCTCAGGACACTAGTTGGTGGAGTCCCTTGGGAGGCGGTTCTGAAGGGCAGAGGGGTCCAGGAAGGCTGGGTGCTCTTCAAGAGGGAAATCTTAATGGCGGTCTGTTCCCATGTGCCCAAAGACGAGCCAGCGGGGAAGAAGACCAGCCTGGCTCAACAGAGAACTGTGGCTTGAGCTTAGGAGAAAAAAGAGGGTTTATAATCTTTGGAAAAGTGGTCAGGCCACTAGGGAGGACTATAAGGATGTAGCGAGGCTATGCAGGGACAAAATTAGGAAGGCCAAAGCTCATCTGGAGCTCAATCTGGCTACTGCCATTAAAGATAACAAAAAACGTTTCTATAAATACATCAACACAAAAAGGAGGACTAAGGAGAATCTCCATCCTTTACTGGATGAGGGGGGAAACTTAGTTACAAGAGATGAGGAAAAGGTGGAGGTGCTCAATGCCTTCTTTGCCTCAGTCTTTAGCGGCAATACCGGTTGTTCTCTGGATACCCAGTACCCTGAGCTGGTGGAAGGGGATGGGGAGCAGGATGTGGCCCTCACTATCCACGAAGAACTGGTTGGTGACCTGCTATGGCACTTGGATGTGCACAAATCAATGGGGCCGGATGGGATCCACGCAAGCGTACTGAGAGAACTGGCAGAGGAGCTGGCCAAGCCCCTATCCATCATTTATCAGCAGCCCTGGCTATCAGGGGAGGTCCCAGCTGACTGGCGGCTAGCAAACGTGACGCCCATCTACAAGAAGGGTCAGAGGGCAGACCCGGGAAACTACAGGCCTGTCAGTTTGACCTCAGTACCAGGGAAGCTCATGGAGCAGATCCTCTTGAGAGTCATCATGCAGCACTTGCAGGGCAAGCAGGCAATCAGGCCCAGTCAGCATGGGTTTATGGAAGGCAGGTCCTGCTTGACGAACCTGATCTCCTTCTACGACAAAGTGACGCGCTGGGTGGATGAGGGAAAGGCTGTGGATGTGGTCTACCTTGACTTCAGCAAGGCATTTGACACCGTCTCCCACAGCATTCTCCTCAAGAAACTGGCTGCTCTTGGCTTGGACTGGCGCACGCTTCGTTAGGTTAGAAACTGGCTGGATAGCCGGGCCCAAAGAGTCGTGGTAAATGGAGTCAACTCCAGTTGGAGGCCAGTCACTAGTGGCGTCCCCCAGGCCTCGGTGCTGGGGCCAGTCCTCTTTTCACCATAATCACCAATTTATTAGCATGCAATTTCTAGTAATTAATTGTGTGGCAGAAATCAATATGTAGTGTACAAAGAGAAGCAAGTGTTTATTTTATTTTATTATTTTATTTTATTTTATTTTATTTTATTTTATTTTATTTTATTTTATTTTATTTTATTTTATTTTATTTTATTTTATTTTATTTTATTTTTTATTTAGACATCGTAAGTCTCAAGTTAACTCATAACTTGTCCCAATTCTTGGGACATGAACAACTATTAACGTGAGTTAAAAGCTATCTAAGAAATAGGGAGAGGAAGTAGAAATAAATCACTTGGTTTATTGACCTAAAAATCAGAATTCATATTGAGTAATCCTGTAGTGTAGATGAAGAGAAAGGAGCCAACAATACAGCAGTAGCAATTGCAGATGGGTTACTTAAATCAGTCAGTCTGCGAAATGATGTTGAATTCTTCCACACTGCTAAGTGAAGAATCTAGTCACTAAAATGGCAACTAGTATGATTAATGACATAATACAAGTGACAAATCACTAGGTGGATGAAATAAAAAGTCCTTTTAAAATACATGTTATGGGATTTGAAACTAACTATCGATAATTTCAAGAAAATATAACTGGCCATTACCATGAACAGTGCGTTAACAGTGCTGTTCGGTCTACAGTCTGATAGAAAAATAAATGAAATGTTAGGAAATGTTTGGGAAAGAATGAAAAATAATTCAGAAAACATCACACTTAGCTCCGTGCCATGGCCTTTTTCCACAACACCATGTCCAGAGAAGGATATTCCGGAATTAGAGGCTTGAGAGCTGCAACAGAAACAGGAGCAACTCTCACTGGAATAAAAATTGAAAACTTTGGAACTGTCTGTCTTAGAAGATGAATAGACTACGTGATAAAAGTGTAACAATGAAACATTGTTCAGAAGCTAGAACAGGACTGTTTCACATAACAGTAATAAAGCAATAATAAAGTAATAAAGCAACTTAAACGGAATATTGGCAAACTAAAAAATTGTAACAGATCTTTGTGCAAAATGAAGATGACTCTGGCACTTACTGACATGTACCTGTGAGGCTAAGGATTTAGCAATGTTTAGAAAGAGACTGAACAACTAACCGAAGTTCACAAAACTACACGGTACTAACAGTTCAGGCTGAGGATTCTGCAGTTGGGGTAAAATGGCACACTTCAGGATTCACGCCAATGCACACTGAGGTTGTGATGAAGATGAATGACTCAGTGTCTGCCTGCTCTTAGACTTCTTGCATATTCTTCTGCAAAGCATCTGCTCCAGCTGCTCTGAGAAACTAGACTGGCCATATGGTTCCCATAAACCTTTAGCAAATTCCTACCTTCATGTCTTGAACTTCTAGGATTAAAGGCAGTTTAACGCTAGTCTTGCAGCACGATGGCCTGAGGTTGGTGCCGCTGGAGCTGCAGAATTTGGGGCTGTTACCACTTAAGTGACCAGCGGGGGACTCACGTTAGGCTTCATAAACGTGCTGCAGAGTGCATCTGCAAGGTGGGGACCGCGATACCTCCCCTGCATTTGCTTTGTGCCAGCGTGGGAGTAAATACACACCGTGCTCGCTTCGCTTAGCATTTAATTTCCCCGTCTTTTTGTGTCCTCCGCGCACAGGAGCCGCGCCCGCCGGCTCTGCCCGAGGCTCCCGGCGGCCCCTTGCTGAAGGGCTGAGGAGATGGCGGCCCCCGCTGCGGGGCGGAGGAGACGGCGGCCCCCGGGGAGGGCGGCCTCGAACCGACGCTCCCCGCCCCGTCACCGAGAGCCCCCCCCGTTGGCGATAACCACCGCGGGCAGCCGCTCCGCCCTCCCGGAGGCACCGAGCCGCCGGGCTCTGCGTGTCCCCTCCCAGAGGCCGGCCCCGAGAGCGGCGCTCCGCGGGCTGCCCCCTCACGGCCCCGCCGGCCGCACACCCCGGCAGGAGGCGCCGCTGCGGCCGTTGGCCGTGGGGGTGGCCGTGAGGGCTGCTGGCGGCCGGGCCTCTCTGCCCGCCTCAGTGCGGGGGTCGGCGAGGGGAGAGCTGATGAGACCAAATCCAAAGCTCTAGTCCCTGTTCCCATTTATACGATTATATATATGTGTGTATAAAGGTGCTTCTTCATCATCATGAGAAACCAACCCATTCCGGCGTGCGAAAGGGGTTTTTCATACGCAGGCAGGCAGCACGCCTGTGCGGGCTGTGATGTTTCAGTCAGACCTGGGCACGTCGGGAAGGCAAAACCTGACCTCGCCAAGCGAAGAGGCTGGCCGGGTGACCCCTTAAGTCCCACGGAACGATGCTGCGCAGGTAGGTTTTGTTGGCTGGGCTCTTGCATGTCTGCTGTGTGCCCCCCCGGAAGGGCATTTATGGGGAACGGGATAGTGCTAACAAGAAGTGTTTTGTGTGACAAGTGGTATTGGCGATGCCAAACACAGCTTGTCTGGTGGTAGTGTCGTTATTGTAAGTTCCTGGTGGTGGTCTGACAGAAATCTCCAAGTTGTGTTTCAGTTGAGCAAAAGACAGTACCAGGTAATGCATGTTTGGGGATTTATGAATATAGCACCCCAAAGCGGTTTCTCCTTGCTTTTAGTAGTCTTGAATCCCAGGTCACCTGAACTTCCTGTACCTTCCCAAAACGCTGGACCTGACAGCGGATAGGAAAAGTGCCCACATCCCCACCCCTACCCTGCTCTGAGCACTGGGGCGCTGGGGGCAGAACTGGTCCAGCCTCGCTCATCTGAGAGGTGCGGGACTGCAGAGGTGGACATCAAATCCTCTGTCATCTACATGGTGAGCAGGATCAAGATTTGAGAATGACTCAAATGAAGTTGTAACGATCACATTTTTAAGGGGATGCTTAAAGAAAGAAGTGCTTATATTCAGCACGCTCTGCACATGATGCCACCAATCATTTTCTACCTAACAGGTTAATGAATGGAATAAAAACAGCAGGGGGAAGTGTACACTTTCAAGGTCTATGTGATGCTACAACTAATTTAGCATGTTTAAGTTAATTAATCAATCAACCAGCCCTTTTAGTTTGTGCTTAGGTTTGAGCACGCATACTCCCATTTATTTATATGCCCCAAATTAAAGGATGTGTGAGTGTTGTTGGGTCACAGCCTTACTATCTGCACAAACAACGTGAGTGTTATTTCTATGCTACTTTGTAAGGATTTATGAAATTTAATATTGGTACAGTGCCCTGAAATTGGTAAACCTTTATATGGCAATGGATTTTATAGCCCTTGCAATTCGTATTTTACAGGCTTTTATGATTTATTAAAAAATTCTGAGTACGAGGGTGTTGGAAATGTCAGTGTTTATAAAACAATTTTTGGTTATGTACCTTGGCACAGTCCTGCTGGTCTAGTGATACCGTTACTTCTGGCTTTGTATCACTGCTAGAATTACATTTTAGTGACAACACTCCCCAAAATATTTTCTTCACTCGGGTGTTTGAAATAAAGCCAGTTAAGGTTTCATTTTTCTTTAAAAATTCTGTTGAAGTATTGCTGGGAGAGGATATTTTTTTGGTTGTTTTAATGCCTGTTTACATTTTGCCTGTATAAAGGTAAGGACTGTGCTCTACAGAGATGAATGTGTGTGATGTGCTTACTGTGTTTATAAACCCTTTTGCAGGCTGTCAGCTGAGTGTCCATGGCTCAAGAGAAGAATTATTTTATTTTTTAAATTTCATATCGTATGCTATATACCCATAGTGAAGTTAGGAGTCATAAGTGGAATTGTTTGGGTAGAAGAACCCTTTTGACACTGAACAAGAAAATTGTATTTAGATTCTGCAGCATTTAGAAGACTGACTGAAGAGAGGCTGAAGATGCCTAAAAATGTTAGGGCCTGATTTTGCACAACTTTGCCTGGATGAAGAATCCTTGCAATCATAGTTCCTCTCACTGATGACAATGAAATTATTTATGTGGGTTATGAACTATTTGTATGACAAAGAATGTGCAAGAGTCTTAACCATACAGTAAAGCTGCCCTTGCACAAATTCTTCCAGAAGTTTTATTTTGCAATAGTCAGTTGGATGAACTTTTCCTTTCCACATCCTGCGTATGATGAAACACTTATTTGACAATGTACTCACTGTTGATCCAAACAGGAATGTGTGAGGTAATCTATCACTTCCCCAAGCTGTGATTTGCAGGAGTCTGTGTGAGCCCCAGGAAAGCAATGTGCTTGGTAATATATTTAATACAAGGAGTCTGAACAGTGTGCAGTGCTGTGTTCAGCATTTACCACTGAAATACAGTCGCTTCTGTAGCAAGCACTGAAATATATATAGTATACATTTAAAGGTTTAACAAAAGTTTCATCTCCATTTGTTTGAAGTGCTTTATATGCTTCACTAGTGCTGAAGCTGTTTCTTCAGATAAAGCAGTCTGGCATGGTTTTGGACCAGTCACTGAGAACATATTCTGTTGAACATTTTTGCAAATTCAGAATTCACGAGTACTTGTTGCAAATGTATTGATTCGCTGACATTCTTCACTAGAAGAGTGTTCTAAATGTAAATTTTCAGTTAGCTTACAACTTTGGCAATATTACTAAGATGCTGAACCTGAAAACCTGTTGACTATATAAAAATAAAAGGTTAAATATGTATTGAATGTCAGTAGAAGAAGGTCTTTTATATCTCTGCCAGTGGAAAACTCTTCTGATTAGTACTGAAGGTTTGACGGGATCAGATTTATTTATTTATTTATTTATTTAGTGGTTCCTGATTAAAAAACAACAGAAACAACAACAACAACAACAAAAATAAACAGCATGCAGGTAGAAGGAATTTAGATGTAAATAAATTAATCAATCATGTCTCAAAATATCTTAGCAAAAAAATAAAATCTAATGCAAAGTTGCTTGGAAAGTCCTGTCATCTTGGCACTAAAAATAATTTTATGAATTGGTAGAAAAAATATCTTGATTTTTGAGAGAGTTGTCCTATACAGTAGTGAATGTACTTCATATACAGAAATCAAAAGTGCGAAGGGTAATAATAAGTGGAAATCTAAAAATAGGTTTCCAGGTCTGTATTTAGATTCTTAAAAAAGGTGACCTGATTTTTCAAAGGTGCTGAGCAGCCAGTCGTGCATGTGCATTCCACAACAGTTCTCAGCTGCTCAGCGCTTCAACAAACAGACATGCTATTCAGGATCAGAGAAGTGAAATTTTTAAAAGCTTTTTCTGTACCTCCTAAAATTGATGAATTTTATTAGGCTTGTGCCTAACGTAGTGTTCTAAGACATCTCTATTTTGCCTTATGTCATCTTCCTTATTTAAGTTTTGGCACAGGCTAGCCTGGATTATATAGTGAGGTCACTGAGATCTTGGCTGCCAGCCTTGTTGCACTCTCACTTGGCTGTGAATGGACTCTGCTTTATCTTGCAAAGTTCAGTGAGTATTTATAAAACTGGAACCACAGTTCTTCTGCAAGTTTGGAAAATCCTGATCTTAGTCAGAACGTTTTACTATTTTTTCACCAAAAAATAGATAGATGAAAACGGTCCAACTCTGGAAATAGACAGATGTCTTTTTCTATGTATATATTAAAAAATGGAAACAATATTTAAACATGAATCTAAGCTTGGATAGCGAAGTATTTTGTTAATTCATTCTACCCCATACTTTGACTGTATATATTTCTCTTCTGCCCAACACTGCAGTTTTATTATCTGAAGTACAGGTAGTTTTCTGTGTTTTTAAAGCTTATTGGAGAAAAATTGGTCATAATAGTACACAGTTTAAGTCTGATGGTCCTTGAGGCAAAGTGGCAATGGACGGATCATCAATTGGTGTAGTCAAAATATTTCCGTTTTCTTGGAAGAAACTGTGATTTCTGGATCCATGCCTTCCACTTATATGCTATTTTATTTTATTTTAAAATAACAGGCATATTATTTATTTTTATTTTTTTTCAAGTAATTGCTGTGAACAACTTATATTCATAAATGGCAGAAGCCCCCTTTTTTTTTTTTTTTTCCTTAGTATTTCAGTAATGTAAAATTACCTTTGGCAATGTAACAACTCAAATTACAGGAAACCTATTTTTCCTTTAAACTTCTTGCCTGATTGCATATCTCTGCTTAGTTATTTGTAAAACAAATAAAACAATGTTACACACAGTTTCTATGAAAGAATATGCTATTACTGCTTAACTTCATTTGGTTTGGGTTCTGTGAGTCGCGAACTATCAATCTAAGCTGTAACATCAAAATGAAGAAGGATCTGCACTTTTAGTTTGCAAATTACAGTAGAAATATACAAAGCTAATGAAATTCATGATACAGTGTATCAGTGCAGAAACTTGCTAATGCTATATCACATATATCATATAGATCTCTCAATATAGTAACTTGATTTTCTGATTTTACATTTGAATGCAGTAGTTTTTGTGTGTTGTGTAACACTTACTACGATGTGAGTGAAACAGTTTTGGACACAGTTGAAGGTTTTGTCGGACAGATATTGGTAGTAAGATTATTCGGAGATAAATCAAGAAAATGATCTTTAAGTATTTATTTATTAATTTATTTGTCATTTTTTACTGTGCAAAGTTAAAATTATAGTTTCTGTTTTAGAACGGAAGTTTTCCTATGAGGTCCACACAAAATGGTTACAAAGCCCAAAGAAGTATAAGCTATTATTTTCATTCAAGGAATTAGGAAGAAATAGAATTTTTTATGGGTTAGCTTTTGTCATCAGTGTTACATCTTTATGGGAAATTATGAACCACTTTTTTTTTTTTTTTTTTTTTTTTTTCAGGTTTAGAAAAAAACTGAAAAAGGTGTAAATGATTCAGTTTTGTAGCTAACCTAACCTGAAATATCTGATGTCAGGATTGGTTGTTTGTAAAGAGTTATACAAATAATACATACAGTTCTGGGAACAATAAAAGCTCAGGCACACTGGATTGACATTAGGGATTTAAAGAAATTCTTGGTATGAAACTGCGGGAAGAAACAATATAGACATGAGAATCCTGCCACCTAACTAGTCAAATGGCACTCAAATGACAAATAGCATTAAAAAAAAACTATTGCTAGTTTTGCGGTGAAATCTTTAAAGTACAGTTTCTCGTATGGCTTTCAGTTAAGCCTGATTTTAAAGCCTAATAGAAAGCAGAAATGCAGAACACAATGTAAGGTGTGGACACTTCCATATTGTGAAAAGTACTTGGTTAATTTACTGGAAAATTGGTTACAGCTTTCTTAACGCTAACTAGTCCCTGAAGTAGGTATTGGCTAGTCACTGGGCAGGAATTCAAAAATCTGGGATATGTTGCATAC